ATTAGCGACACTTCACGAGTAGAATTAAATCGGTTTACAAGTGGATTTTTTTTTCTTATTAGCTAATAAATTCCAACCATGAATATTTTACATTATTTTTCCAAAGAATAAAAGTTAAATTGAGTGGAACAGCATGACTAAAATAGAGAGGTTCTTCTTATTGAGTTCAAGAAACACGTCAATGAAATATCAAAAATAAATCTTTAGTTTTCAGTGATCTTGCGTGCTTTATAATAATAGCCATCAAAATTAAACATTAATGTTAACGCAAAATGTTGAAATAAGTTTAAAAAGTTAGTTAATAATGCAAGAAAAAAAAGTAAAATTTATTATTTACAAATAAAATTCAATTTTCTTGAATAATCAAATACATGTGGTACTTTTCCTTTTAAAATTTTAAACAATTATATAATTTAAATCAAATTTAGACAACTTACAATTATAGTACAAGAGAAAGTGTAAAAGCTTATAATTAATTTTTTTATTATTTCTAACAAATTCTAACACTTTTGATGATAATGAAGTAAAATGCAGAATTAGAAATGTGTTTGAATGAAGTATTCTCATATTTTAAAGTCCTAGAAACTAATTTAAAATTTGAGGCTTACACAAGTATTTGTTCAGGCCAATTTCAAATTAACGCGCGTTATGCTGGCAAAATCTCGCCGGCTATTTTATTTCCATTTAATTCTGCACAGCGGGTAACGGAGCGAATTTCCGCGGAAATGAATCTCGCTCGAGTTCTCTTCTGCTCTCATCAACAGAACCGGAACGGAATTCTTGTCTTTCTCTCATAAAAGAGGGTCCCGAGCGGCCCAGTGCGCGCGCCTTTTTAAAAATACAACACACAAAAGTTGGGCGGCGATCGCTGCGGGACGAACGAGCGCGAAAAGCTTTTATAAGTTCTGTCAACGATTTTTCATCTTCAGTGCACATTAATTTCCTCTCTTTGACTGAACGCCCGTCGTTTTCTTTCTTTCCTTGTTTATTTCCTTCTGGCTTGAACGCCGCGACACATTCTGCTTATTATCATTCTCGTGTTTATTTGCCATCAGAGCGGAAACGCAAACAAAAAGGGAACGACAGACAACCCTTCATTAATTAGTCCCTTTGCTAGAGCCTCTTTTCCATTTTAGCGATTTTTCAATTTGCATCGCCACGAAATTAGCCGAGAATCGCCAGTCCTTTGGCAAACATTAATTAATTCCGAGGGTGTATTTCACTTTCCTCGTCCACTCGGATATTGCTTTGTTGGCGCTTGAGTTGCGCGAAATTAATTTCTTTGATGCCAGACACACAAGGAATATAATGAGAAGAGCGCATTTAAAAAATTGCTTGAAATGTCTCAAATGTCAAAAAAGAAAAATCTCTGGTCCTGGGCACATTTTGATTTATTTCAAGAAATTACACCAAGGAAATGAATTATTGTTGTAATAAAAAAAACTGTTGCCAAAACATAATTTACCATAAAGATGTTTTAAGCATTATTTTTAAACTTTGAAAAAGTATCACGTTTCATAATAATTTTGTTTCATTTTCAATAAAATAATTGTTTTTTTTAAAGAACCAAACCAATTTAATTATTGTTCTGGTCAATGCAGTAACAATTTTAGTATTTGAAATTTAAATTTATAATTTATTTATGTACTCTTCAGGCAAAAATTTATCAATTCACATGATCCTAAAAAAATCAAGATTTTCTGTCAATTTCTGCGGCTTTACTCACGAGGAAAACTCACTAAAAAATTTAAAAACAAAGCTTTATGCTTTTATGACAACTTTTGTGGCCAATTCAATTTCCTCCAAAATGTTTTTAGCATCCCTGTCAGAAATGTTTGTGTTTGTCTGGGAATTCTTTTGCAACCTGCACGTGACATTTGGAGAAGTCAAAAGTATTCTTTTTCATTCCTTTCTTTATCCCAGCACTCCTCGGTGCATTTCTCGCACGTAAACAAAATCCCCCAAGTACTCGCCGCTTACCAGACCGCGGGGTCTTTATGCATCCTAAAGCTCTCGCAACGTAAAAAGTGCATAAAAAGATTTTATCGGCGACACAACAAACACACACACGTCACAAGCCTCTTTTCCTTTCGACTGCGCCGCAAACTTTGCGACGCAAAGAAAAAAGGAGGTAAATCACTAATTCCGAGGCGATCCGTCTTTGTTTGTTTGGCAGGGACGTTCCGATCTTGTTTAGAAACAAATTCAGCGTGCCAGCTGCTCCAAAACGAATTCCCTCTTAACTTTTTATGTCTGTTCAAGACGATCATCTGCAGGAGGTTATTTTTGCTAAATAATTTTCTCCGCGTTTTAATTACGGCTGCGGGAGATTTGTGCTATTATTTTTATGCCCGTTCGCGTTTAAAAAGTAACCGCCCGCCTTGTTTATTACCATTTTATTAAAAAAGTTTCGAGTGTCTTGAGCATTGTTGCAAACTTTAGTGTGCACGACGGCGGCTCGAATTGCTTAATTGAATTTGGGTGCGCAGGTAGAGAAGAAATTTCTTGTTCCGAGCTTTGCCTTTTAATGGGGAAATGAGGCTGAAATTTTTATAATTTGTGCACAACTTTCCGACCGCGCACTTCCTTTCTCCGCCGCAACACACAACAAAACGGAAAATTTTCCATTTCCTGGCAGTTTTCCTTTTTGCTTTAATGATCTGGCCGACGGGCGGCGCGAGCGTAGGGATTTATTTTCCTGTGTCACACAAAAGCCTTTCAAACTCTCAGACTGACTGGCTTTCTTTTCCTTCTTTTCTCTTCTGCCGTACGTATTCTTGAATTATTGTTGCGTAAAAATAGTTCTCCTTTGATAACTTTTCACTCGCCCACCGCCGTCCTTTGTGTACTTTCGATCCAGTCGTTAATGAAGTTGAGAAATCTTGCCGGATTTCGCCCGGACTTCATGAATATTGTGAAAGAGTTGGTCCTTGAGTATTTTTTTTAACAAACGCAAATGCCAGAGCTAAAATTTGGCAAAGAACCAAATTTCTTCATCAACGCTTTTGAGCATGTTCTCTTTTTTATATGGAGAGTTAGCTGGTGGGAAAATTTGATCGTCTTTGGAACACAAAACGCTCTGCTCATTAACAAAATAAAGACTTTATCGCCTTTACTAATAACAAAAGACTGCTTGCGTTAAAAATATTTTACTTACAGATTTTTAATTTTTATAGTTTCTCATAAAAAAGCGGTTAAAAATAATTATGAAAATTTCTACTCTGACTCGCCATTATATAAAAATGAATTTTGACTTTGACCTTTTAATTTCAGGCAAAGCCTAATGCCTTTATAATCCTAATTTAACCCACTCGAGCTCCATTCATTGCCGCAAACGGCTCTCGCAAATAGGCATTATCATTCAAACGGCAGGTGGCAGATTCAAATTGGCTGCACGAAATCGAATTAATTAATTCGGCCGGCTGACAAGCAAGGCCCGGTCAGATTAATCAGCGCGGTGTTCGTTCCTTGTTTGCCCTGCGCAACGCAAGGCCCTAAATAAGCCATGAGCAGTCGCGAGAACAATGGAACTCTGGCATGAATTTCACACGATAATTTATGCCAATATTTACCACCTCCACCGAGTTGACCGCAAAAAATGCTCGCATCAAAGGTGAACAAAAGAGACTGAATGCAAAAATAAGAAAATAAAAATCAGAATGAACCTTTAGTGGCGTCAATTAGGACGAGATAACGAGCGAGTTTGGAGCTTCAGTGCATTCGGTAATGAGTCGCGCAGGGATTTCGTTGAAAGGCAGGCGACACCATCAGATGCACCTGCTGACTGATTGCACAAATTATTAAAAATTAAAAAATATATAAATTCAATTTGTAATATGCAATATTTCACAATGAGCGGTAAACAAAGGAATAAATAATAAAAATCTCAGTGTGCGTGCGTTTTTCTGTTCTAATTTAAGTGCTCTGTCTACCTAATTTTCCGGGTTTTAATTAAATTTTTAGTTTTCGTGACTAATATATTAATTTTTGAAATATAAATTGAATTAAAATTAAATTAAAATAATATTTTTTGAAATAAAAATTGAATAAACGTTAAATAAAATTAAAAAATTAATTTTTGAGCAATTTAAAATAAAATAATTTCTCAATTAAAGTCGAAATTCTGGTTTGTTCCATTATTTAAAGCCAAGTTTTCTCGCACAGTTTTAGTAAAACCATGTAAAAAAACCTCTTCAAAAATAAAAGTTTATATAATTTATACTTTTTATTTTCTTGTTTTAATTATTATTATTCTTGTTTATTTGATAAATTGTTTGCATTAAATATTTGAAAACATAATATGGTTGCTACCGGTTTATTTAGGCTGTTTTTCTTATCACTATGGCTGTTAGTGGGCGTTTTTCCTACAACTGATTGTCTGCTTCCTAAAATTTTATTGTCAAGTTGTAGTGTTTTTGTGTTAGGTTTCAATTGTGTATCGGTGCGTTTTTTTCTGTTTTTCTTGTGTTAAATAGTAATTTATCCGCAATACTTACCATCCTTATCCATAAATATGGTTAAATATGGCTGTTAGTTTTAAAAGATGAAGGTGACTGAGCATGAAACCTGCTCTCGCAATTGCCCAAATATTCCGCTCAGTTGGCAAACAAAACTGCAAACCGCCTCGGGGAAAGCACTAAATTCGTCCTAATACAAGCGTGTTTCAAATTAGAGTCCGCCGGAGCGGAGATTTGCGAGTTGCTTTTCGCGGAGCACATAGAGCCTGCAAAGCAGATGAAATAAATCACGTTTATACTCCTTATTGCAGCGCTCCATATTTGAGCCGAGCAAACACTCTCCCGACGGGTGTGTGTTTATTTATTTGCATTTGCATGCCGTTTCGCTGCGCGGCTCCAATATCAAGATAAAGTGGCTCGATTGATACAGACGTATTGGCCGGATAAAACGCGCCCGGCCGCTCGCTCATACTCCCCATAATATATTTCAATTTGCCGCGCGCTGAGTGGATTTCTGATTTGATTTTGCTTTTTGTGTTGCAGCCCAACCGATCGAAGTCGAAGGTGTGGTCGGCAGATCCGTGCGTCTTCCGTGCAACGTCACGCCCGTCGGCCCCGACAGGGTCTACATGGTCCTCTGGTTCAGGGACGAATCGGGCATCCCCATTTACAGGTAGGAATATATTTTATCAACGTAAATTTTGCGCCATTTTCAAGTTTTTTATTTATTTGTATCTTAATATAAATGTGATAAATTTTTCTTTATGAAATTACATTGTTTATTTACTCTCCTCATGATTTTTAACAGAGGAATGTCAATATAAAATAATTTTTAAATTTAATTTTAATTTGCACGAAAAATTCTATGCATACGTTCTCCAACTTCACAAGGTATTCTCGTCAATTAGCAATTTATTTAGGCAATTCACAATTTAATTCACTTAAAGCCCATTTGTAAACGTCAAACGAGCGTCGAGCTTCCTCAATAAATTTCTAACCGCAAAGGGTACATGAGCAATATCAGCCAATTTCCTCTCGTTCAAGCGCGAGATTGAAACCATAGCAATGACGCAGCGTCAAAAGCGCCTCCATTATTACAAAATAAATGCTCAGCCGTGAATTCGAGGTAAATATGCGACGTGGCGCGCACACACACAGAGTGAATAGCGATGGTTGACGCGAGACATTATCTGATCATCAAAGCAACCGCGCCACCGTTTGTTCGAAGCCTAATTGCAAGTGCCTCTCGTCATTGTGCAGAGCGTGACGCGCGCTCTGTGTGTGCTGAATACACGTCTCTCTCAGTCCAAAATACATAAATGGGTGTACCAGAACTGCCTCTCTCTCTCTCTCTCTCTCGCTTCCGATATTCTCTCTCCGAGCCACTTGAACAGTTTTATCGAAAAGTTTCAAGTGCGACTAATCAGCGTCAGATTGCAATATCGAAAGTTGCAAACAATTTTAATCATCTTGCCCAGCATGCTTGGCAAAAAGTTTGGCTTCCTATAAATTGGTTAATTCATGAAGAAATCAATACAAATCTTAATTTTTTATGAATGCCCTGTAAGATTTGCTGATCGAAGTTTCGTAATTTAATTTATGGATAATTTTTTAAGGATGTGAAGAGAACGGGTTTTTACTTGCCGATAATTTTTTTATTAAAAAAAGGCCGTTTGTATTTTAATAGAAAACCAATTTACACGAGGACGAAGCCTATTTTAAATAATTTAATTTTTTTATCGCCATTCTGGAAAATATATGAAATAAAAATTTAAAAAAAAAAAACATTTTGTCTTTGCTTTATTAAATATGTATTTACAATTGCATGACCAATAAAACGCAAATTGATAATTAATTGGAAATGGAATGACTGAAAAAAAGCCCGATTATTTATAAAGCAACAAAATATAAAAGGTAATCATGGAAGATAAAAATAAAAATGATAACGACATCATTATATCTTTAATTAGACCCCTGGTACAGAACTGGTTCAGAAAAGGTGTAGAACTGATGCAGATCAGCTTATCCGGTCCTGCACCATTTCTGTACCATTTTTGCACGAGATCTGCACTAATTCTAAATTTGAAAAATATTGCTATGAAAAAGCTTTAAAAACCTGATTTTGATCTATTAAAAAAAAAATCAAAACAAAAGCACTCTGATCAAATTAATAAATATAAATTATAAACGCCATGAACAATAAAATGGAATTTGATAATGAATTGGAATAGGCTACCTGCAATGGTAAATTTAAAATTTTCATTTATAGAATATGAGCGAATATTTAGTTGAAATTGCCGGTGAGGAGCAAAATTTTTCATTATTCGCGAATGCCAGAATTTTTTGTAAAACTAAATGCAAAATTTCAGCTCGCACCATTAAGGGAAAAATCATCTTTTGCCAATCATTGTTTCCTCGACGGTGGGAACCGCAACCTGCTCCGCTGCCATTTGAAATTGAAATTCATATACGCACTACTACATACAAAGTTTTTGCCGCTACTGGTGCGAGGCGCAGACAAAATTAATATTTAAGCGAGAGAGAAGGGAAAGCAAACAGCAGACTACGACTATAGCTGCAAAAAGTGTGTCTGTTGCTCCCGCGCGATTCCAACCGAATAGGGTGTGTGTGTGTGCGCCAGCGTATTAATAATGGCACTTGTAGGTTTATATTCATATATATGTACAAATAAATGCAATGCAATCAGCCTTTTTCGGGTCTCCAGATTTAGTCCAAAAGAGATATTTTTTTTCTTTATGAATTTGTAAAACAAATGAAATATACTTTACTTAATTGCAAAATTTCTTTGATATAAATAGAAATACATCATTTGAAAAAAATAATATAAAATTAGCGGACAAATAAGAGAGGAAAATAATGTTTCAAGTAATTATCACATTATTTATGAAGCTGAAACTTTAATTGATATTCCATCTTCATTCTATACAAAACTAAAATAAATTAATTTTGTCCATTGTAAGAACAATATATTTATAAATATAGTTAATGAACAATTTTAATTGTAAAAATTCTTAAATCTGAAAAGTTCACTTTTTTTTTTTTTTTTAGGGTCAGGCCAAGACAAAGTCTTGTCGGCCTGTGCCCTTTATTGGTGGTACAAAAGAAATTTTACGTAAGAAGCATTAAGGGCAGAATTTTTTAAGAATTTTTATTATAGTATAGTACCTACTTATGGCTTTAGCATGATTTTTCTATTATTAAAACCAAGCAATGGTATCTAAATCACATTTTAATTCATTCTAAAATCAGTATTAATATGTACCAAGAATTTTCAGCAGTTGCAGACCTTCGCTCTACTGAATTGTAACCATTTCTATTAAATAATAAATTTTTGAAAAAAGGCAAGATTTATAATTTCGGTTTACTTAATTAAATTATAATTCTTGTTTAGATCCAGGCAAACACTAAATTAACAATTTTGAATATTTCCTTTTAGGCAAAAACGAGCCAACCCGTGTGTATGAGAGTGGCAGAATTTGTGTCCACACCCCACACAATCAGACTGCGAATTTAAATAACTGTGCGTTTTGGCGTTTCAGATGTGACGATTTAAAACACACAACGCGCTGCTGCTTAATGTGGCGCACTTTTTCTCTGCTAATCTCTCAGTCAGCCGGCTCTGCCTCTTTCACTCTCGGCAAATAAGCCGCTTTGGATTTTTAGCCACAGGCGCAAATCACTTTCAATCAAGCGCAAGCAGCCGGCCGGCGCGGCACAGACAGAAAGAACTGATGGACGGACGGATTTTTGATTCGACCATTTGCATGCCCGTGCATATAAAAGCCGCGCCGATTTGGCGAGAGCCAATTTTTGCATATGCATTATATGTATTTGTCTGGCCGTCTGTCAGTGAGCCATTCATTCCGAATGCTTTCAAACTAAATGACTCGCGCGCGTCGCTAAGTGAAAAGTTTCACAGAGTGCTTTTTCTGTTAGTTCGTTTTAAGATGAAAGATTTCAGCGCGGCTTTTGTCCAGGGGTAAGTGGATGGAAAAATTCTGCCCGTATCTTGTCAGCCGGGCTTTGACTTTGCAGAATAATTTCATTTTGTGGGTGGCAAAGAATAATATTAAGTAAGAGTATCCACCGAAGCAATGTTTAATAATGCCAGCCACTATTTGAGTTAATCAAAAGATTTGCGTTTCAACAAAACGCCAAATAAAAGTAATTAATAATTTTTAAGTTTAGATAATTTAGATTCTTAATTAATTAAACTTAATTTTCTTATTATATTTTAATTTATTATGATTACTTCTCGCTACAAACTTGCAAACTAGTTCAGTATTTTAATTTATAACCTATATGTGAAATAAAACAGAAACTTCACGTCAAGGCAGTTTCATATAATAAATGAAAATTAATTTGAAATTTCAATATAGGATAAATATAACCCTATTATTATATTATTAAAGTCTTAAACAAATATTTACATTTAAAAAAAAAAAACCAGAACAGAGCATACGCACATTTAATTCTAAAATTTGCCTCTCTGCTTTAATTTTTCCTCTTTTTTTCTCTTCCATTGCAGAAAACGAGGCAACTCATCGCGAGCTGCTCCCCTTTTTCTCTTATGTGTTTTTCCGGCACAAAATATTACTCTCATTTCCAACGGTAGCGAATATATAAGACGGCAGGCTTTGTGCAAACAATCGTCGTGCTCACTTGAATAAAAAACGAGGCGCCGCTTCAAATATTTGCACAATTCTTGCGAACATAGATATATAAAATATGAATATTCATTTCGGCGGCAATAATCATCCGTCAGTTCGAAACACTTACATTCGACGTGGGAAAGCCGCGTGCGTCCTAATTAATTATTCCGCCAATCGAGCCGAGCGTTTGCACTTCTGGTTAATGTGACTGTAATTACTTGCGTGTGCATACCTTTCTGGCGAAGACGCACGAAATTATCTGCCGGCGTTAATTTGCTCTGGAGAATAAACACACGCTCGCAGGTTTCAGTTTGCTTTTTGCCCGCCAAGCGTTGTAACCGGCAGACGGAATTATTTGCGGCGAAAAAACACTGTGTTGCGAAAACCGAGCAGCTCTGTTTGCACGCCGGAGTTTTAATTGCCAGCTATTTTCTTATTACGGAAGTGTTGATGCCGGTTAATACTTTGCATCAATGTTAGAAGAATTTCACGCTTTCTATACTTCAAACAAAAGTTTTTATGTGAATATCTTTATAAAAAAGAAAGAAAAATAATACAAAAATGTTTTTTATCCATATTTTATGGTCCTGAATTTAAATTAAGATTTATTCAATACAGATATTTTTAATAATTATTTTCCTTTTATTTTAACATCAATTTTTTATACCATTCCCTTGCGTTCCTCCATTATAATTCTACATTTGGTCAGTAATATATTTGTATCTCTATTTACGTTGTTAAAACTTTTGCTGTTTGCTTCATTTGCTCTCCTCGTCAGAAAAGGAGAAGTCATATGTACTCATAATGTATTTTAAATCCGCAATCATGGGCTGAAAACACGTACTCGGCATTTCCACAGATGAGGAAAAACTTTTCCTCATATCGCAGTTGACAGTTATTTCACATTATTTCCGTTTCATCAATCAGTTGGGTTTTCCGAGATAAAAAAAGCAAACAGCCGCCGAATCTACTCCTGCTTTTCATTATTCCTCTTCATTGG